AGTTGGTTAGGCGACTGCCTTCGGCTCAGGTCATGATCCTGGAGTCCTGGGATCGAGTCCCGCATCGGGCTCCCTGCTCAGCAGGGAGTCTTCTTCTCCCTCTGACCCTCCTCCCTCTCATGCTCTCTCTATCTCATTCTCTCTCTCAAATAAATAAATAAAATCTTAAAAAATAAAAAAATAAATAAATAAATAAAGCATTGTTCTTGAACAATGAAAATTACTGATTTTATATTGGAAACTTGAGTGTAAGAACTAATTCAGTGTTCGGTACTGATGCAGTCATTAAGCCTAAGATTATAAGTAATAAGTTTCCCCTTGAAGTGTGTAACCGGTCTTTATTTCTTTTGGCAGCTTCTGGGCTGGCTGGCTGAGAAACTACCGACTCTTCGTTCCACCCCCGCAGACCTTATCCTTTGTGTTCCTCATCTTTACTCGTGCCTGGAAGATCGCAATGGAGATGTGCGGAAGAAGGCCCAAGATGCCTTGCCTTTCTTCATGATGCATCTGGGATATGAGAAAATGGCCAAGGCTACCGGGAAACTAAAGGTACTATTTCTTGTGGTTGCTGCTCTTAAAAGCCATTAGAAAAATATTGAACATGATGAGTACATATAGGCAAGAGATCATATTACCTCCTAGGAGTTTCACTTGAAACCCCAGTGAGAGCAAAAATATGTTGAACTCCCAAGAACCTGACTCTGCAGGGACAAAAGTTGTGACCTTCTAGAATGGTAGCTAATTTAGTATGACTTCATAATGTGTGTTACTTCTCTTGCACTGTGTGCTGCCTCCCTTACTTCATAGGTATTTCAAAACTGGGAGCTCAGTGATGTGTTTGACAGCAGCTCTGTTAGTAAGCATACTATGAGTGTATCATGTATGTGGCCTCTCACTTCTGTTATGTTGTCTCCCTAGCCAACTTCTAAAGATCAGGTATTGGCCATGCTAGAAAAAGCCAAAGCTAATATGCCAGCCAAGCCTGCTGCATCTGCTAAAGCAACTTCCAAACCAATGGGAGGGTCAGCTCCAGCCAAATTCCAGCCAGCTTCAGGTAACTCTATTTTGAGAGGGTTAAGGGGGAAGGAAGTAGCCCAGGGGAACTCTAAAAAGAAATCCAGCCTTCATTTCTTACCGTATTTCCAAACAGCTTAGATCCTAGGCCCTCCTGCCTTCCCTCCCTCTCTTCCTCCCTCCTCACACCACAAACATTTGTCAAGTTTTATGCTAGGAATTGTGCTGAAGGTATGAAGATGCTTAATTTGGTTTACAATTCCAAAAAGGGGTTTCGGAATAGCACATTGAAATACTCCAGAAAGTGAGCGTTCCATCCTGTTTTTAAGGTTTCCATACATTTTCTGCTATTGGATATAATAGAAGGGGAACTGGGACCATCTAGTCTAATCCCCTTTATTAAGAGATGAGGAAACCCTAAAGATTAAGTGACTGGCACAAGGACAGCCAGTCAGTGCCTAAACCAGCATAGAATTCCTCTTCCTCATTCCCAAATGAGTTCTCCTACTGCAGTGCCCGTTTGCCGATTCATTCTCTTACTAATCTTTTAGAGGAAATTCTTGATTTCATCACACTAATGTTATAATTCCATCATGTATAAGTAAAACTCTAATCTGTAACCACTTCTTCTCTAGACTTAACTACTTAAATAAAATATTATTCTTTTTAATGGGGTAGAAACTATTCATGCTATAGAGTTAGAAATTGTACATGTGCAAAACTGTTGGTATCTACATATATATTCAATTACAACGTTTGTTGGAATCTTGCTATATGGTAAATACTGAGTACCAAAGATGACAGACCCTACCCTTAAGGAAGTATCAATCTAAAAGGTTTTTTTAACTGTTATGTAGAAAATAGTTTTAAAACTTCAGCTTAACTGTTGGCAAAGTAGATATAGATTGAGTTAATTTCTTAGGGTTATGCTTAAAAAAGGAAATTTAGGCAGAAAAAAAGATTAGGAAAAAATCTAATTGGAAATACTTTCTAAATTGACACATTTAAAGCTGTAGGCTTTCTTATCATTATGTATTTAACCTGCTCAGAATAAAGTGATATTAGTTAGAGTTTATATTTATAGTAGATGCCTTTTCTTCTCAAAGCACCTGTTGAAGATTCTGTTTCCAGCACTGTAGAAACCAAGCCTGATCCGAAAAAGGCCAAAGCTCTAGGAGTTTCCTCTAAAGCAAAGGTATGTTAGCTCTGCATACTTAGATGTAGAATTGCTTTTAAGTGTGTTTTATACGCTGAGTCATTCTATTAGGAAAGATATTATGTATGAAAGAACATTACTACTTTTTTTTTTTTTTTAGGACTTTATTTGAGAGAGAGAGAGCGCATGAATGAGAGCACAAGTAGAGGGAGAAGGAGAAGCAGACTCCCCACTAAGTAGGGAGCCTGATGCGGGGCTTGATCCCAGGACCCTGGAATTATGACCTGAGCCAAGGATGCTTAATTGACTGAGCCATTCAGTCGCCCCTACTGTTTTTTTGGTTTTTTTTTAAGATTTATGTATTTATTTGAGAGAGAGCAAGCCCAAGCCAGGGGAGGGGCAGAGGGAGAGAATCCTCAAGCAGATTCCCTGCTGAGTGCAGAGCCCGACGAAGGGCTCCATCTCATGACCTGTGAGAGCCTGCCCTGAGTCAAAACCGAAAGTTGGACATTCAGCTGACTGAGCCACCCAAGTGCCCCCGCTACATTTATTATTACATGCTTATATAGAATGGGCACTCTGGCCATTTGTTTGAATATTATTTGTTTCCTTCCCTTTGCCTGGTCCTTTAACTCAGTGAGTTAATTTAAATAGATAATTATCTTCTAAATTGTCCAGTTGAAGCTGTTCTTTTCCTATCCTCCCTACTGTCCTCATACCAAATTTAACAAGTGCTTATTTTAGTATTTTGATCACAAGTGCTTTGAAGTATTTTTGACACTATTCTTAATGCTGTCCTTTTTTCCCCCAGTCTTTTGCAGTTTGCAAAGCAGTTTCACATAAATGATCTCATATTTGTTTTAACTGAATGACTTCAGTGTTTGAACTAGAAATTCTGACCTACTAGAAATAATGGGCTCTTGCTACATTTATATTAATAATTAATAATGGTTACGGTTTTGAAATTCAAGTTTTACTTTAAATACATATTCTCAGTTTTCACTATTTTCTTTCCATCTGATACAAAGATTTAGAATCTTGGATTATTCTTCAAAACCACTTTAATAATTTAAAATGTTTCTAGCAGGGTGCCTGGGTGGCTCAGTCGTTAAGCGTCTGCCTTCGGCTCAGGTCATGGTCCCAGGGTCCTGGGATCGAGCCCCGTATCGGGCTCCCTGCTCTGCGGGAAGCCTGCTTCTCCCTCTCCCACTCCCCCTGCTTGTGTTCCCTCTCTCACTGTGTCTCTCTCTGTCAAATAAATAAAATCTTTAAAAAATAAAAAAATAAAAAAGTTTCTAGCAAGTTTCTCTAGAAACAGGTTCAGAGAATCTCTAGTTATAATGATGTGATAGAGAAAGATTTTATATGCAGAGAAACAAAAGCTTTCTTGACTAAGACATGTGTAAATGCCATTCAAAATGTCATTAATATGGAAATATGTAAGTGGTGTTGAAGATTTCAGGAAAGAAAGGAGCTGTCCAGGGGTGCCTGGGTGGCTCAGTCGGCTAAGCAGCTGCCTTTCAGCTCAGGTCATGATCCCAGGGTCCTGGGATCGAGCCCCATGTCAGGCTCTCTGCTTAGCAGGGAGCCTTCTTTTCCCTCTCCCTCTGCCTGCCGCTCCCCCCCTGCTTGTGCTCTCTCTCTCTCTCTCTCTCTTCCTCTCTCTCTGTCAAATAAATAAAATCTATTTTAAAAAAAACCAAAGAACGGAGCTGTCCAATAAACAAAGAGTCTGTGACCCAGACCAATAATACATAATAGTTTTCCAACTATATTACATGCCAGTACAAGGTAACCCACTTGAGTTATGTATTTGAGAATGTTACTTGAGAATGTATTATTAAAAACATTTCTGGGGGCTCCTGGGTGGTTCAGTAGGTTGGGCATCCGACTCTTGATTTTGGCTCAGGTTGTGAGATCAAGCCCTGGTCGGGCTCTGTGCTCAGGGCGTGGAGCTGCTTAAAAGATTCTCTGCCCCCCCCCACCCCCCACCGGCTCACACTCCCTCTTAAAAAAAAAAAAAAAATTTTAGTGGGGCGCCTGGGGGGCTTAGTCGGTTAAGCATCTGACCCTTGATCTCAGCTCAGGTCTTAATCTCAGGGTCATGAGCTCAAGCCCTGTGTTGGGCTCCATGTTGGGCATAGAGTCTACTTAAAAAAAAAAAAAGAAACAAACAAACATATGTTTCTGGAAATGTACAGAAAGTTAGTATGTGCAAGTTTCTGTGGCTCATCTGTTTCTTTCATGGGGAATATAACGTTGAGAGTGTCTGTTTTATAGAGAGCCCGCTTACCGGGCAGTAACATCATATTCCCAAGGACGAGTAGCCTAGCTAACCAGTGTTCCCTGAACCTTGGCTGTAGAGTGCACAAGGAAAGAAAGTGCCCAGCAAAACCAGCTTAAAGGAGGATGAAGACAAATCTGGTCCTATTTTCATTGTTGTTCCAAATGGAAAAGAGCAAAGAATGAAAGATGAAAAAGGATTAAAGGTAAGGAAGGGACAAGAACCTTCAGGAGTTTTTTGCTTTGTTTTGTTTTGTAATCAAGAACCATTTTACTGTCTGGAATTCATTTCATTGTGAAATACCTAATAATGAACTGGGTCTTTTGCTAATAAATTATAGCTTGTTTCTCTTAGGTTTATGGGAGCATTAGTTACTACAAAAGGAACTATAGAATGGAGCTATTGCCTATTCTTCCTCCAAATGGAAAGAAACAGAAATTGTTTTAATTTTTATAATAAAAAAATGGAAAATATTAATTGATTTTTATCAACTATACATCTGTAGTAGGGTACTTGTTTAATCCTTCTTGTACCTGATACCTCGAAAGACAGATCTGGTGACTATCTGTCTAATTCATTTCTCTTTTTATGTTATTTTGGTATTTTTAGGCAGTTAGATTTTTTTGTCAGAATACATGTTTAAAAAAAAATTCAAGCAGTATGAAAAGTACAGAGTGTAGTATAAGAAGCATGTCTCCCCCTAGTCCCCCTCCACAGGGAAGATACTATGGCCAGTATTTTTGTGCATTACTCCAGAATTATGAATATTTTGTACTATATAGTTATATATGTATAAATGTATAGCGCTTTTTACACACGGGAACATGCAGTACTCTTTGTTCTGTATTTTGCTTTTTTCTTTTAATGTTTGAAATATCTTAAAGGTCATTACATAACTGTGTGCATATATCCATTCATTCTCTTTATTGGTACATCATGTGTATGTACCTTTCTTTATCCCCAACCCACAATATAAACATTTAGGTTTCTTCTAGTCTCCCACTATTATAAACTATTCTGCCGTGAGCATTTTGAATGTAGGTACTTGTACACATATGTGAATATATCTTTATTAAACTCCTACTAGAATGTATGTACGTATTTAACTTTGATAGATATTACAAATTTTCCCTTTATTAAAATTGTACCAGTAGTATCCACCATGTTCTACAATAAGAGAGCATTGATTTTTCTAGTGAGAATTGCTGAATTGAAGATGTTAAGAGTTAACCTTCCAGAAGTATGACTGCTTGATAATATATTTTGCATTCATATTTAATTACAAATTAATCCTGTCGAATTTTAAAATCCTATTATATTGATTTCTGCAGCTGCTTTAAATAGAATTCTCTACCTCATTTCAGTTGAACATCTTATCATCCCTTTCCCTGTTTTTTTTTTTTCAGGTGCTGAAGTGGAATTTTACTACTCCACGGGATGAATACATTGAGCAACTAAAGACTCAGATGTCTAGCTGTGTGGCTAAGTGGCTACAAGATGAGATGTTTCACTCAGACTTTCAGCATCATAACAAAGCCCTTGCTGTCATGGTTGATGTAGGTTTACAGTAGATAAATACACGTGTATCTCAGATCCATGAAAATACTGAGCCTTGTGAAATAACCAGAAGTTAACGTGACTTGAGAAGGAACTAGAATACACCATGTTCTTTGGCTTTAGAGTTATAGTATTACTTGATAGAATAAGTGACTGTCATAATTGTAGGTCTTAAATAGAATCTTAAAAATCTGTTTTCTTCTTGGACTCTAGTAAAATCTATAATGTACTTACCTAATAGAACTCAAATTTTTATACAGTCTTATTTGTCTTCTGTTTTAAGCACTTGGAGAGTGAAAAAGAGGGTGTTATTGGTTGCCTGGATCTTATCTTAAAATGGCTTACCCTGCGGTTTTTTGACACCAATACAAGTGTCCTGATGAAAGCCCTAGAATATTTAAAATTGCTCTTCACCCTGCTAAGTGAGGAGGAGTATCATCTTACTGAGAATGAAGCATCTTCCTTCATCCCCTATCTCATCCTCAAGGTAATGCATTGTTCTCATTCTGGAAGACTGCCCAGGTTCCCAGCTGACCTCAGTTCCCATCCTTTATTCCCTCTCCCTTTTCCATTTATTCTGTGATGATACCTTTCACCACTCATTCCCGTGCCCCTGTTCTTCCAAGATGTGTGACGCATGGAAGGACCCTTTGCTACTCAGGAACTGCCTCAGTCGTTATTTTCCTTGTCGACTAGGTTGGAGAACCAAAGGATGTCATTCGTAAAGATGTCCGTGCCATCCTGAACCGGATGTGCCTTGTCTACCCAGCCAGCAAGATGTTCCCCTTCATCATGGAAGGAACCAAATCCAAGAACTCTAAGCAAAGAGCAGGTGAAGCAACAATTTAAATTGAGGCGTGAGTCTGTGCAGCAGTGACCTCGAAAAGAAATAGTTTGTAGATGAACCGAGGACATTTCAGTGTCTGTGTGGTTGATTCCAACCTTCCGATTTGGACTGTGGGAGTGATGAGTTGCACACTGGTGGAGCCACAGTATCAGGTGATACAGGCACTGCTCAGTACCACCCTGCTGACAAAATCAAGTGCACAGGGGCCATCTGACTCACAGGCATCCCTTTCTTCCAGGAGCACTCGCTGTAATAGTATTATTATATGATTGTGTGTGTGTGTGTGTGTGGTTTAAGATTTTATTTATTTGACAGAGCACAAGCAGAGGGAGAGAGAGGGAGAAGCAGGCTCCCCGCTGAGCAAGGAGCCCGATGTGGGACTCGATCCCAGGACCCTGGGATCATGACCCAGGCTGAAGGCAGCCGCTTAACCGACTGAGCCACCCAGGTGTCCCTGATTGTGTGTTTTATCAGAAGGCAGTAAACAAGGAAAAATTCTAGGCAGAGCCAGAATAAGATTTTAGTTCTTCATGTATGCCAAGGAAAATGTATCTAGTAACGATAGGTCTCGGGGCACCTGGGTGGCTCAGTTGTTAAGCGTCTGCCTTCGGCTCAGGTCATAATCCCAGGGTCCTGGGATCGAGCCCTGCATCGGGCTCCCTGCTCCGTGGGAAACCTGCTTCTCCCTCTCCCCCTGCTTGTGTTCCCTCTCTCGCTCTATCTTTCTCTGTCAAATAAATAAATAAAATCTTAAAAAAAAAAGGTCTCTAAGCCGGAATATGTGTTGGGTCTCATTAATCTAACCTTTCTTCCCCATCAGAGTGCCTGGAAGAACTGGGGTGTCTGGTCGAGTCCTACGGCATGAATGTTTGCCAGCCAACCCCAGGGAAAGCCTTAAAGGAGATAGCGATTCACATAGGAGACAGGGACAACGCCGTGCGCAACGCTGCCCTCAATACTATCGTCACCGTGTACAACGTACACGGGGATCAAGTGTTCAAGCTCATCGGAACTGTGAGTGACTTCTCGCTGAACATTGTCAGCATGTTGTGAATTGTTAGGAGTCTGCTTTCATACCATCGCAACTCTAAGTTTTTACCACTTTTTATTATAAACTCAACCCACCTGTGTGTCCTTGAGTCCAGATAAACCCTTGGGGATGTCTGATCGTTGTAGGACATTTATGCTATGTCTTACTGGAAACCAGATTTTCTTTTCTGCACCTTCTCCTCATACAGTTTGCTTTAGAAACAAGAGCTGTTTTTGAATCCTATCCTGAACTAGTCTGGGATTTATTTTCTGCCTAGAAATCTGCTCTGTAATTTTTAGCGCATTTAGTTTTTAGTGAACAAGTACTCACGTGTATAATGTAGATCTGGTACCTGTCAGAGGAGAGGAGCCACAAGCCACACTCTGCAGACCCATCAGGTGCTGCTTCTGATTGCTGACTTTGAGCCGGGGCCACTCATGGTTGTACCTCAGTCCACTCCAGTGACCTCCGAGTATTACGTATATTTACACAGTTTTTTATACATTTTTACCTGGATTAATCTGTTTACATCCTCACTACAGGTCAGTGAAGGAGATAAAGCAGATGGGAATTTTACAGATGATCAGCAGGGAAGCTTCTAGCCTTTCATTCACATAGTTAGTGCTGACACAGCAAGTATGAGGAAGCGTCATTTAATCTTGGACCTTTTCATTTGTAGTTCCTAATAGCCTTTCCTTTTGTATCCTTGCCTTCTTTCGTAGATTCTCTTATTGTAACAGGTTTTAACAATAGTTGATTTTAAATGTAGCTAGTGTTTTGAAAATAAACTTACCCCAACATAGTAGGTTCTGCTTGCTTCAATATGTGAATGGATATTGACTCTTGAGTCTTCCAGTTAAATTTTTTAAATTCTCCTCATACCCTGGTAGAGGGGCATACTAATAATAAATTCAATTTGGCCTCTTTTTACAGCTCTCTGAAAAGGATATGAGCATGCTCGAGGAGAGGATTAAGCGGTCAGCAAAGAGACCTTCGGCTGCCCCAGTAAAACAGGTGGAGGAGAAACCTCCGCGCACTCAGAGCGTAAACTCCAATGCCAACATGCTGCGCAAGGGACCAGCCGAGGACATGTCCTCCAAACTCAAGTATGTAGATGGAGACAGTTGTCTAAGAACATCTCGGTGGCCTTTGCCTCATGTGCTTAATGCTTATCCTGTAACATAATCTTGAGTTCCTGTAGCCATTACCATGCATGCCAGAGTGTCTGGGGAAATGTCTTGTAACCAAATGTTTAATTCTTCAGTCTTCATTGTCTTTGTCTTTGTCTCAAAACCACTTCTAAATAGTCTTGTGCCTTCTTTCACTGCTTTTCCGTGGACAGAATTATGTATCGCACTTATAGGATGTAAGTACTGCCTGCTAATTTCTCATTAGCAGGGCTCTTATATCTTTCTAACTTCTGACTTGGATTCATCCCCTCTGGAGGGCGATTGGTTTAGAGTTTAGGTTAGAGGGTGTCCATCAGTATCCCATGAATCAAGCCTCCCCAGAAGTCCACTGGCTAGCAGAAGTGGCAACTCAGTGTCATGGCGAAATTATTGGTTCACCTTTGTCCTTGTGTTATACCTGGCCATGCTCAGGTTCCTATTCTTCAGATAAAGCTAATAGGTACAATGCATGCAAACCAGAATTGGCATAGGGACTCAAAATCCTGCCTTCTGAGCAAGACAGCTCTCTTTTGGGCTATGTCCATTATCTAATGTTAACCAACTTGAATTTGGAAACCTTAAATACAGATTGCTTGGATGTAACACTGGCTCTGACCTGTCAAGAGTGAATATTCCTAAAAAGAGATGACTGTCCCTCAAAGTCTAAAGTATACCGAGCACTGCATGGAAGAATGCTTATGATTAGAAAAACTTAAAATACTGGTTAATTTGGCAGAAAAGAACCAGCCAGCCTAGATTTTTCTTAAATTTTTGCCCAAGTAGAGAGCTTTGAGTCAGTATATTTTATTAATTATTTTCTGCCCCATCTGGAATAGCAGTACAAGGTTTGTTGGCTTTAGTGAACTAGAGAGAATACTTATAATTTGGAAGGTACTGTAAATACAAGGTAAAATGATCTGCTTCGTGAGCCAGAGTTGTTGCCCATTGAAGGCACTTGCTTAGACTCAAGGACTTAAATCATTCAGGGGGGCTGAAACCAGAAGTTGAATATCTGTCTTGAAGCATTGGGGCAACTGGCAGTGTGACTCTTGCTCTTTGGTTCAGAAGTCTCTTTAGTTCAGGAGCCTCCTTTTGCTTTCCTTAGCCAAGCCCGAAGCATGAGTGGGCATCCAGAGGCAGCCCAGATGGTGCGCCGAGAATTCCAGCTGGATCTAGATGAGATTGAGAATGACAGTGGTACGGTCCGATGTGAAATGCCAGAGCTGGTTCAGCACAAACTGGATGACATTTTTGAACCGGTCCTTATTCCCGAACCCAAGTAAGTTAATCTTTCATTTAAGTGTCAGCAGTGCATGATCATGAGAGTGCATACGTGGAAAGAGCTTTCTGTGTAGTCACAATTTTTTAGAACTGATTACTGTATGGCTGGTGACAGTTCTTTTACTCAGACCTGGAGCTAGTGGAGAACTGCGTAATTCCAACTCACTGGGATGTCTTGTAACAAAGATTGAATTTTTTCCCTTTGCTCTGCTCTCTAGAATCCGGGCTGTTTCTCCACACTTCGATGACATGCACAGTAATACAGCATCCACAATCAATTTCATTATCTCCCAAGTAGCCAGTGGTGACATCAACACGAGCATCCAAGCTCTGACACAGGTAATGGGGGTATGACAGTAATTCCATTGGCAGCAGAGGCTGGACGAGTGGTGGCTGCATACAGGTCACAGAGTTAAAGGAGGTAGGCAGCGTTCAGCACTGCCCTGATGAAAAAGTGCACAGGGACCACTTAGTGTCATCACTTGCTTCCCAGGAGGTGGCTCTCATAGATCCTTGCTCTTTATGCTTGCATTCATTCACCAGAGGCTGGAGCTACAGCGCTGAGTAAGTAGGGACCAAATCTCATGGAACTTACTTACTAGTGGACAGAGAAAATAAGTAAACAAGAAAATATCAGATAAGAGCAACTACTGTGTAAATAGAACTCAAATGGGGTGATCAGAGAGAGGAGCTGAATAGTTACTTCAATTGGTGGTCAGGGATGCAAGCAGAGGGAACAGCTAGTACAAAGGTTATCGGGTAGGAATGAGCTTGGATATTCAAGGAAACGATTCAAGGCCCATGTGCCCAGAGCAGAGTGGGCAAGGGGGAGAATGGTACAGAATGAGATTTGAAAGGTGGACAGAGATCACATCATGTAGACCTTTAAAGCCCCAGGGTGTAGGTTGTTTGGATTTTAAGTGTGATGGGAAACCATTAGAGAATTTTGAGCAAAGAAGCTACATGTTTTTTACAAATCATTCTCTTCTGCTTCCGTTTCCTAACAATCTAGTCCTAAAGCCAGTAAGTTGGTAGAGCAAGGTAGGCATCCACCTTGTGGCAAGGTGGTGAGGGTGGGGAACCATCGTGGCCCAGTTGCGAGGGTCTCAGAGCCCAAGTGTTGTGAGGATGGTGTCATATAGGAGCGGTGATGCAGAGTCAGGAGTCAGAGCCCAAGCAGGGTGAAGAGGATGTCATGCTGGCGGCCACTCTGGCATGATAGTAGGATCCCAGGCAAGGTGAAGAGGATATCCATGTGTGTTGCAGGGGGCGGGGCAGCATGCAGGTGGCTCAGAATGGGGAGTCAGAGCTGAAGCAGTAGACATCTGCATGGGGAAGGACTAGGGGCAGAGATGGGAGATCGGTTACATACAGAGGGATTATTCAAAGAAATACAAGGAAAATAGAAGCCACGTTTTTTTTTTTTCTTTTCTTTTTTAAGATTTTATTAGAGAAAGCATGAGCAAGGGCAGAGGCAGAGGGAGAAGCAGACTCCCCACTGAGCAGGGAGTCCAACTCGGGGCTCGATCCCAGGCCCCCCAGGATCATGACCTGAGCCAAAGGCAGACGCCTAACCGGCTGAGCCACCCAGGCACTCCTGAAGCCATGTTTCTTACTGTCCGAAAAGAGCACTACAAATATGAAAGGAAAACAAAATAGAATAAACTCAGGCATTGGACCAGAATTAGATTAGATGTGTCAGTATGAACTCATGATTTTCAATACAGCGATGTAGAAATAAATATCAATGTAAATGTATGTATATGTGTGGTATAAATGTATGTTACAGGTATACATGTATATATATATAATACACATATATTCCCTAATGCTTTTCATTGAAAGGACCTGAGAACAGCAATACCCCAACAGCAAGAAGCACCCCCAAAACTTGGCTTCTAAATACCATTTTCCACTAAAAGGGAATGAGGGCTCCTTGGAGAAGGGGTAGATTCTAGGGCTGAATTAGAAAAAGTACAAGATAATCCTGGAATATCGTATTGTACCTGACAGTAAGGATAGGCTCAAAGAATGATAGGGCCCGGTGGCCAACTGTTTGAACAGGGGACAGTTTGAGCATCAAAATCAATAATGATAGTAATGACGTATAACCCAATGAACTGAATAAAATTCAGGAAATAGATTCAATAAAATTTAACAAAATAGGAAACCCCAAGTCCATGTCCATGTAAATTAAAAATTTAAAGAAAAATGAGATAGTTTCATAGTACCTCCCCACAAAATACAAAGGACTAATATACAAAGTGTAACTAAGAAATACAAAATACTTTTGAGTAATTTGACAGTACAGAAGCTTAGCAGACACCAACTTGAAGTGCTCAAAGTGAACATCAGTATTAGGACAAGATAAAATCATGTGCCACCTTGTAGGATCCAGTGAGAATTCAGCATCACTTTGCTGACATTCCTAATGTCATCTGATCATGAAGAAACCTCAAAAAAATGCAGAACTAAGGGATATTTTACAACCGTCAAGGTCAAGAAAGTCAAGGAAAGACTGAGCATTGGTCTAGACTGAAGGGAGATTAAGAGACATGACTAACTAAATGCAGTGCATGATTCTAGACTGGCCTTTAGCTATGAAGAACGAGATCAGGGCAATTGGAGTAAATGGAATGGGGCCTGAGGATTAGACTGTAATAACGTCAATACTAATTTCCTGATTTTGTGTTGCCTCCTGAGTATGAAGGAGAATGTCCTTGTGACAAAGAAATACACAGTAAAGTGTGAGATGGGCATGGAGCATCACATTGACAACTTACTCTCAGCTGATTCGGGATTTTATAAGTTCTTTTACAATACTTCCGACATTTCTATAATGTTTGAACTTTATTTTTACTGGAAAATGTCTCTCTGGCCACTCTCTCAAGACCAGATCTGTTAGGAAGCTATGACTGAAATTCATATGAAAGATATTATCACGTGCACTAGGATTATCACAGTGGGGAAGAAAAGTGGATGGTTCCAGGGTATCTTTCATAGGTAGTGTCCACAAGACTTGGAGACAGATGGGTTGTGAAAAGTAAGCTAAGAAAAGAATCAAGAGTAACTCCATGATTTTTGGCTTGAGCACCTGGGTGGTTGGATAGTGGTGCTGAGAATGGGGAAGCTGGAGGAAGAACAGTCTTGAGAAGTTGGAAATTAAGAGCTCTGTCTTTGCTGTGTTGAGTTTGAGCAGCCAGTTACACATCTCCACGAAGACAGATGGCTGGAAATAGGAGAATTGGGAATCTTAGTACAAGATTTTTGCTACTGTTTGACAAATAGTCTCCTGTTAACAGTTTTAACCTTGGAGGGACTCTAGAAAATAGTGACTTGAATACATGCATTCCTGCTGCCTTTCTCTATCAACTTCAATCCAAACCCATCTGCATTTTCTGAGCAGAGGAGCTGCTGGGTCAGGTAGGTGGTATCTGAAGTATATACAAGTGTCAAGCTCCATCTAGTACAAGTAATAAGCCTTTTCCACATATAGGCCTTCAGGAAAACCTGAAGTTCAGTAGTGCAGAACCCGGGGAAGACGATCAAAACACCAAAAATCCTGGAAAGAGATCTCTTTCATCCAGGGAGACCAGCAGATCCCCTAAAGAAAGGACAATGGTGGTTTATATGAGTGTTAATAGTAAGGACCTGGTGTTCTCCTTGGCCCCCAGGGAACTATAGGTTGCTGAACAAAAAGGCTGAATTCACTGTCAGTCTGGGAAGTCTCTAGCTTTTGTACCTTCAGAGACAGAAGAGCAGAAGTGCCTGCCCTTGGTGCCATGTGACTAGCTGGCATACCACAAACTTAGAAGGGCAGGAACTGCTGTGTTTCCCATTCTCAGATTGCCACAATTGAGGATTTCCAAAAGGCAGACCCAAGAATGAGTCCTGACTAGGTAAAGAATAATAATGAACCACACCATAAGAGACCCAGTAACTGGGAAGAAGAATGAAACAGAATAACCAGAATGGGAATCTCCTAGCACAATGAAACTGCTGGCGGGGACAAGATGACCACAGGGGAGGGGAGCAGGGTGTGGAAAGAGTACTTAAAGAGGATTTATTATTACATATAAAGATTCTCTCTAGCAAAACAAAAAACAAAAAAATACATGGTTTTAGAATTTTAGGGGCGCCTGGGTGGCTCAGTCTTTCTGCCTTCGGCTCAGGTCATGATCCCAGGGTGCTGGGATCGAGTCCCACATCGGGCTCCCTGCTCGGCGGG